GAGAGCTGAGGATGTCAGAAGATGGTGCAATCGGTAGGTTTTTCTCCTAATCGATTTTGTCTTCTTGTGTATGTGTGTAGTGAAGTGTAGGTGCTGGTCCAGAGTGATGCCCAGGTATACAATTCAGTTGGATGGTGTGATATTTTTGTTTGCCACTCGGAGGTTTCTCGGTAGCCTATTCTTTTTCCCCTTCTGATGAGAGAACACTACACAGCCTGTTTTAGCTGGATTCACCTGAATGTTGAGGTTATCCAGCTGTCGAACAATCTCATCACAGGTGTTTTCGGCCTGTTGTAGTGCTGTCTTGGGGTTTACACTGCGACTGTAGATGGCGATGTCGTCTGCGTACGCAGCAACGGTGGCTTTTTTGTAGTTCTTGCCAACTACATCCGCTGTATAAATTGAGAACAGTACTGGCGAGAGGACTGCTCCTTGTGGCACACCGCACGTCTTGTTTTTTTCATGCTCATCATTTCCCCTACTTTGACTATGGCTGTGTGGTATACGGCGGCCTCTCGTTGGAGCTTGAGGACAGACTGAAGAGAATCATGAACTGTTTTTTAAGATTCGTCTTCGGCACTTCGAGATGGTCTCATGTGTCCCACCTATATGCCGAGTCAAAGTGGCTCTTCCCATCCTCCCGCCGCCTATACTTCCTTGGAAATTTCTTATACCAAACGATCAACTCCCAGCACCCTTCCTATATCTGTTGTCTCCTCCAGCCTAAACCCTTAGCCCACTCAATAAAAACGAGATCCCGTGTTTCTGACCTCTATATTCCTTTCCACAGGACAAAAACCTATGAACGTTCCTTCTTAGCCCGCTCCGTCTCCTATTGGAATTCTTTGCCACATAACATCCGTCATGCCTCTTCCCTGTCAACTTTCAAATACCTCCTTTTCCAATATCTCCTTACATCCCAAACAGAAGATTTACCACCATAAATTTCATTTTATGAACTGAATTTGTGTGAAGTAAATAGTGGTGCCTACTGTTTAAGTTTTCACATAAAACAGCAATGATCTTTGTCACCTAGTTTGACTATTATTTTTACAATTTATTTATTTTTCTCTTCTCATCAGGTTGTGCTTTTTTTTTTTTTTCGGGTATATATGTTCATATTTTATATCTTTGTCTTTATGTGTGCCAATATGAGAATGTACGTATAAATAGTTCCTTTTAGTTATTTTTTTTCCCGTTACACCACAAGTATCGTAAGACTTTATTTTATCTTAGTGTCTGCATATTATTATATAAACCACTGTAGATATTATTTCATTTTGTATTAAGTTAGTTTCCAATCAGATAGCCTATTGTTTATAAATTGTGTTATGTATATATAAATATGTAATTTCTCTTCTTTTTTTTTTTTTTTTTTTTCATCACAATTAAGTAATTTTGAGAAGATTTTATGTTCATTTGTATATATATTTTATTTTTTATGTTTTACTGGTTAAATACTTTTTAAATAATGTATATAATATTAAAAATTTTAGAAGTTAGTTTTTGGCCAGATTTGTACTTTACTTTGTATTAACTCATCATTGTTATTCTAAAGGGACTTAGTCCCAGAATAAAGTTTAATTTTCTATTCTATTCTATTCTTGTACTCGCACCGATAGACTTCTATTTTGGAGGAAGGAGGCAATGATTGTGTATAGCTGCTCTGGGCACTCGAGATCTATGAGTTTATGGCATAGAATGCCATGAGACACAGAGTCGAATGCCTTTGTGCAGTCAATTGAAATCATGGCTGTTGCCTCTTTCCTGTTGAAATTGGTGTTTACCTCATGCTGTAGTTTCATGAGATGGTGTTCTGTGCTAAGTTGGGCTTGAAAACCGGTTTGCTCGTAAGGAATTACGGAGTGTTCATCACAGAATTCCCGAAGGTAATTCAGAATGATCTTTTCGTAAACCTTAGCGAGGTGCGGCAGCAAACTTATGGGTCTGTAGTGATCTGGTTTGTCTCCCGGTTTAGCCGGCTTGAGGAGTGGAAACAGGATAGCATGCTTCCATTTCTCGGGGAAGTATCTCAGCCTCAAGCACGAGTTGTATATGTTCGTGAGATGATAAATTCCTTTGCGTGGCAGTTGTTTAAGGAGAACTGTCTGTATTCCTTCATGACCAGGAGCCCGGTTTCCATGTGATCTCCTATTAGTCTGTGATACAGACTCCTTTATATAAAATTATTAACATCCGCTTGAAACTTGAAGATTGCAAACGCACCAATTCCAAGAGTTCCCGTAAATAAAATATTTGTAGGTTACGATGGGACGAAGCTATTTTCGAAGTTTCAGGCAGATGTTAATAATTTAATAAAAAGGGGTCTATATCACTCACTGACTGTATACTAATATGACAGTAGTAATAGCACATTCGTGAGCTATAGCGACAGTCTTGCGCTCTGTTGACATTCATATGAACTAGCTGATCCAACTAGCGCCTCTAGCGAAAAACTAACGAAACTTTTCAGGCTTTAGCAGTTTCAGTAAATATTACATTGTACTATTTCTTCTTTATTATACAAAGTAAGAAATAGTATTTTTTTGTTTGTTTGTTTAGCAGACAATTTTACAACCTTAGCTTGCCTTTACCCTCTCTCCCTATATAACTATTTATTACTTGAAGAGAGAATGCTTAGCTGATTGTAGGTTATCAAAATAATTTTTTTTGATTGAGACAATAATGATTTCTTTTCTCTTTTTGGCATTATAAATCTTGTAGATCTTTTTGTGCCTTGACCATCTTTCTCAAACCCTGCCTTTCTTGGAGTTTTTGTATACAGGTCTGCTGTATCTTTGTCGATTCGACATATTTATTTGTCTCCAATTTAGACTCTTGTCTAGTATTGAAAAATTAATTGTTGTATAAAGACTTCCTGATGGATTGTTTCAAGCTACATGTCCTACCCATCTTCACCACCACCTTGTCTTTATTTCAAGAGAATTAATTAACCAGTTTCGGTAACCAGTTCTCTATTTTTCCTTCTCCTTAATACATTAGTATTCTTATCTTGGAGTGTTTTTCTCTCTGATCTTTCAATACTTATTTCTAGGGTGTTGGTTAGTTTCCAGACCTCGTATTCGAAGTAACTTTATCATAACATTAATCACCTCTTATCTGAGATTTCTGAAGATTTCAGTAATTTTTGTTTTTTCCTAGGACTATATCAATTCTTTATTCCACTGCTACTTTACAATTTTTGGATTTATACCTCTTTACCTCTTTTGGTGGTCATTTCTATATGCAAGAAAGACAAGTTTTACATTATTTATAGTGATTTGTATCCAGTGTCGGCTTCAGGGCCAGGCTACCAATGTAAATGCCTCGGTTTCTGACATGGAGGGCACCCGCTCCACCGTCTCCCACAAACTGCTCTCAATCTCCCAGCATAATTCGCCAATACAGATCTATTCCATACATCCCAGTTCTAACTCAAAAAAGTTTTAACTTCCGAATTCCCCCATCTACAAAAAGTTTTCAAAAATAACAGCAAATTAAAAAATCTATACGCTGAACTCAAAGATCCTGTTTCACTCCTACAATAATTAAATATAATATACCATATCACATGCTCTAGCCCAAACTGCACTTCTTCTTATATAGGAGAAACAAGAAATTATCTAAAAAACGAATATATCAACACAAATACAGTAAGTCCACACGGAATCCACTTGCCTTGAAACTAGCCAAACATGCCATAACCCTTAACCACACTTTTGATTTTGAAAACCCAACTATACTTGCTATAGTTCCTAATCACCAAAAACGGCTACTCTCAGAAGCTATATTCATCAATTTGGAAAAAAATAATCTGGAAAACCAGAAAGTAGACAAAGAAAAGATCTGCGATATATATATTCAAACATTTTCTGCCTTCTGAAATAATAGTCTATAATAATTAAAAACTGTTTTTCATTTTTCCCATTTCCCGGTCAATGTATAGAGGTAACTACTATGTTTATTATATACTTATTAATATATTATTATATACATATTAATATAACACCTATCCTCAATATAAATATATACTATGAACAGGCACAGATATGTTTATACTTATACTATTAGAACTATTTAATCCTTATTATAGTACATTTTTTTTTAATGATCGATATTGTTATTCTTAAAATATTGTATAATATATTGTACTACTTACCATTTCAATCCATTACGGTTGTTGTATTGTAAACATTATTTGGCCAACTATTGTATACCTTTAATCAAACTATGTTATGTTTATATTGATTGGCATATCTTACTTATGTTCATTTCATTACTAACCAATAGTCACAATTTTGTAACTATAAGAAATAACGCAAATCTTTTATACATCTTGAATAATTTAGTTAGCAAATTATTTGCATTCTGCAAACAGAAATGTTACTCCCCTCTGACTATGTTTACTTAACTTAAAAGCACATCTAGAAAATCCTCCATCGACCCTTTTTCTTATCTACCAAAGTGTCAGTACTTGAATACTTCAGTGCATGAAACATGGTGAGTAAGAGAAAAATATTACAATTTTTATAAATTGATTATATAAATTATTTTTAGTTTTTATAACTTTTTACATATTTCATTTGTCTATTGCATATATAGTCGATCATTATTTTTGTATTATTAATTATTATCTGTCGTATCAAATTGTATCTCTGATTTTATTAAAATATTTTCAGTCCTGATGGTGACCCACATATTTGGGTTGATACGTCGGTACAAATAAATAACTTTATAATGACTGAGTCCTGAATATTTATCACCCATCATAAAATAAATAGTTTAAGAAATATTGTGTTGACCTTTTTTTTTACATAATAGCTACATTATGTTTTATGCTATTATAATCATTTCATTATCAGTGTTTTTATTATATTTTCAGTTAGTATAAATTAAAATATCAACATACAAAATATAAATGCTGTAAATGTTAAAAGATTTCTCCTTTGCTGGAGTATGAGGTCCAAAAAAAAAATAATAAAAAAAATAATAAGTGTCGTATTTGTTTTATGTTTCTTTATTATATCTTAATTACATGCTTTTCATAATAAAATATAATTTCACTTTTTAAAGGAGACATACAGTAACCTAATTAAGTAGCTAGTGTATTGTATAAGTATTTATAAATAAAAATACATTATTCATATTGTCTAATAAAAAAATATTAGTTTTAATTTCTTTGGTTCAGTGCTGTTCCACAGTTTCAGTCTAAAGAAATTAAATAAACAATATTCTTTATGAAAACAAATCTTTCATCATTTCTTAAAAAACTAATAATATAAATATAAATAATTTTTAAACCCTTTCAAATATTATTTCTCAAATATATAGAAATAAATAATATAATATCATATAATATAATAAATTTAATAAAATATAATAAATAATATAATATCGTAATTCATATAATAAATCTCTTAGAAGAGAAAAATAAACTATATCCATACTTAGTAGAATTGAATAATTTTAAATTATGAAGGCGTGTAGAAGTTGGCAGCTACTTTCAGCGCCTGGTCAATATCCTTAATTAGGTCTGTAGCTGATTCCAGGCCGATAGAAAATCTAATCAAGTTATCAGTGATTCCTAACTGTTCTTTCAATTCTCTCGGCATATCTTCATGGGACATTGTTGTTCTGTGAACATTTAACAAGAACATAATTATTAAAATATGATAGTAATATTATCAATTTAAAAGGTTATTTAAATAAGTTATTTTAAAAAGTGTTCTTTTTCTCTATCTTGAAGTAGATTTGATATATGGTACAACTTAGTTCTCTGGATTATTCAACATCTAAATAGAAAAAAAGCATTTTAATTTCTTTTTTTTTTTTTAAAGTTGTCTAGTTTCAGCATTAGTTTCATCATCTGAACTCAATTATTTCAAGACAATCTATTGTTTTATTAAGTAAGGTGATTTTTGATTTTTTCTCTTAATACTTTAGATCTTTAATTATATATTTTTTCCACACATATAGTTTTATCATCATTTCAAGAGCTTCATCCTCAGAAATACATCTTTAATAATTAATCTACAATGTTTTATTGCCAAACGTCAGTTATCATACTTTTGTTTATTCTAAACTTTTAAGTCTCAAAACTATTAAATGTAAAAAAAATGATTAAGTTCTTAATGATGTAGAGATGGTTGACCATGGTGTAATATGAGAAGGAGTTGATCGGGGGATGGGGTCAAATAAATTGTAGAAATAGTATTATTTAATTTTTTTGCCAATGTTTCGACCCACTTTGTAGGTCTTCATCAGGGCTACAAATGATACAAAATATGGTACATGGTGAAAATTAAATAAATGAATATAAGTAAATATAAAATAAGAAGTTGTCTGCTAAAGAAATAAAAAGATGATATCAGGGATATAGTGGGTGACAATGTAGTTAAAATATCAAGTATTATGTATATATAGAAGATACAAACAAAAATAGAAAATAAGTATGAATAAAAATAGAAAACAAAGAAGAATATAGCATGTAAGATAAAAGTAAACAGATTGCGATTAGTATTTATTTGACCGCCCCCCTCCCCGATTAACTCCTCCTTTGATTAAGTTCTTAATTATTATGTCAAAAATAGTTATTCTAAATACAAAATATTATGATTTCACTGAGACAAAATTCAATAACTTAATTTTCAAAAAATTACTTAATGACATATGCAGTAAATCAAAAACTAAAGTAAATATTGAACCATTTTGTCTCAGGAAAAGTAAAAATGAAGTTATTGTTGTAAAATATATTTAGTAATTATATAGCTGACTTTGGGTGAACTTACGGCAATTGAACTAGCGATTCAAATCCTCCCAGACTTACAGCAAGAGCGAAAATTTTTAAAGCTTTTAAAAATGCTTTGCTCAACTCCAGGTCGCCTTTTAGGTAAATAGAAACTATCCCCGATGGCCCATGCCATAATCTCTGCGCTAATTTATATTGGGGATGCGATTCCAAACCTGTAAATATTATTTAATAAATAATAAAATTGTATATAACTAATAATAGTTTACTATAATGAACTTTTAATAAAGATATCAATTACCAGGATATAGGACTTTTTCGACAAGGGGATGCTGCTCTAAGAATTTGGCAACTTTCGTTGCATTTTCGATATGTCTGTCCATTCTTATTGATAAAGTTTTCAAACCTCGGTTTACGAGATAACAGTCAAAAGAAGATGGGACTGGACCTGCAACTGAAATAAAAAAATAATTAATTTAATATAACAAAACTAGAACAACTATTATTTGGTAATTTTAGACTGTTTTTATGTAAAAGGTATGGCATAGTCTGATAATAATTGCATGACATTTCAAACATTATGTAATACACATATTGTTAATGTTATTAATTAACTGTTAATTTATCCTAATTGGAGTATTATAATTATAGAGAGGAATATGGTGCATGAACACCGAAAGCTTCTCTACAAATAAAGTTTTAAAATAAAATAGAGACTGTCAATGGTAAAAAATCCTTATAAACTTATAAAAAAAAAAATCAACTTAAACAATAAAAATTAATTGTTTAAAAAATGAAGAAACCTTAGGAATATTACTTTAGTTATAAATACAAACTTAAACCAATGTAGATTATGAAAATTCTATGCATTCTGGTTTATGAAGCTGAAAAAAAATATATCAATTTTCCATTTCCACAGGATACTGTTGATGTTTTTTATTTGAGTATCGCTAAACTTTTTTGTCACTTATTTATAACTGTTACATCAAATACGCATGACTTAATAAATTATTATGATTGTACTAATGGAGTTATAACCAGAATCATAAATATATTGTTTTATTGAGAGTGGGAAGTTGATTTTAAGGAAAAAGTGGCTGTAATATTTAAAATATAATATTTTATAATAAATTATTATAATATAATGATTTATTATATATTATAATATTTAAATTTAATTAGCTACTGTTTGAGTAATTTTTCGTCGACATCCGTTTTTGCTGTAATTGGTTATTTTGATTTAGGGCCTAATGCCAGACAATTGTAGTTATTCTAAAGGGACCTAGTCCCAGAATAAAATTTCTTTTTCTTCTTCTTCTTATTCTAAAACATGTATTTCTATCAACAACTCGCATTTGAAATTTTACACAGTCATTTCCCTTATTTTATATTCATGTTTTATATATGGGTATGTGAAAATAAAAAGTAAATTATTTTTTAAGTTTAAAATTTAATAAACTTACTGTGTTGTATCAGCGTCAATCTTTTATATATCTCATCATCGCTAGTCGTTGTAGCGCCCATGATGGTGTCAGAATGTCCGTTCATATATTTAGTTAAAGAATAAATAGCTATGTCTGCTCCCATCAAAAGAGGGTTCTGAAAATATAAGAAAAAAATTATAAGTTTAAACTCAAGGGTAATTCAGGGGTGGTTATTCCACTTTTTAACTTGAGCCATTGATCTAGCTTTCTCAAAGAAAAAATTAATAACTGTGTAAAATTATAAGGCTATGTTATACCTAGACCGTATGAGTTCTGGGGTGGATTTATTTTTTAAGAAATCCTAACAAAAACATATCCTTAATTTCACATTAAAATACAATGCTTCCCTACCTTCGGTAGTGAGGAATCAAAACATATTGTTGGTTGTATCACATTTAATAGATTGTCAAAATCAGTAATAAAACAATAATGGCGTGCCAGGTATGAAAAAAAAATTATCTAACGATATCTCATCTCTGGCATTATTTTAGACAAAAAATAAATTTACAGGTCTCTCATCCACGACGTTTTCAGCCTCCTCGTGATGTGTTAAAGAATACTGGTAGTGGCCATTTTTACTGTTAGATGATTATTATGTACCTGCATGGGCGGATCTACGGGGGGAGGAGGGCTTTCGGGTTGAAGCCCCCCCAAAATGGTTAAATATAACCATGTTTTGTGGAAAAATATATTAAAAAATTATCTATTAAAGTATTATTGTTCATTGTTTAAGGAATTACTTAAACACCATTTCATATATATATTTAGTTTCTTTATTTTTTTCCAAAGTAATTATCGTCATTTTTATGAAAAAAAAAAGCTTTCGGGCTGAAGCCCTCTCTCCCCCCAAAATTAAATCCTGGATCTGCTTATGTGTACCTGTAAATTGTCATGAAATCTTTTGTAGAAGTCCGTATGTATTTCGCAATCTCAGGTCAGTATGTTACAGTTGTGTTATAAATATTTTTGGATTGCAATGTTTGGAGTTTTGGTATGTCTTTTTGACAGAACTGAAAATTTGAGGAGCATAAAAAAATTTGGTTTTAATAAGTATGTGTACGTAATAAATTTCTGTCTTAATTTTAATTTTCATTGTGGTCTTAGTAATGAGTTTAACTAATGTATAAAATATTTATTTATACAGTTTTCAACGAGGAGTTATTTCTCTTAAATGTGATTTTTCCTTTTAGTCTTCACAATAAGATTTACAAGTGTCTACCACAGTATAAATCTTATTACAGTAATAATTATAAAAAGTTGCGAATTTCCTTACCTGAAGATATGGGGTCAAGAAGGTGTTATCCACTGCTAACATGATGTGATGAGATTCTGATTTAACTGCAGCTGCTAAACGTGGTATGTCCATAACTCTAAGCAATGGGTTGGTGGTGCTTTCCACGTAAACCATCTGAAAAATAATTCAAAAAACGATAAACGATATTGTTAATTTAATAGTTATAAAAATTTCGGCACTTTTGTAGTTATATTATTATATTGAATATTTAAGCTGTTTGATTGCATATTTGGGTATTTTTGCCTGCATATTTTATGTTTTTTTTTATTGTTTATTATATCGTATATTTTACGGGGTTTTACTGCATGAAAATCTACAAACTCTGCATATGACGTAATCGGGTGATAAAATTTGAATTTTATATACTAACCTTGGTGTTTGGTTTGAAGGCTTTTTCAACGTTTTCGATAATTGCAGTGTCCACAAATTCTACTTCGACTCCATGGTCTACAGCGATGTTCTTGAAGTAGCTGTGGCAATCAAATACAGACAATATAATTTATTTATTCTTAACAAAAAGTTAATACTAGTTCCATTTTCCTACATCACCAATTCAAGATCACACTATTCCAAGATTACCTAAAATAAGACGACGTCTCTCAACTGTGTTACTGTTTTTCTGAGTTGGGCAATTACTCGAGTAAATGAGTAATTTCATTAATTCAATTATCATGAATAATGAGTAGGATTAAATAACTCCCGAGTAACTGTGTGTGTTAAGAGTGGTCACTCCAAATTGTTTGGCCATGAGTAAATCACTCATCACTCATTCTATCATCATGAGTAATGAAAAACAATTTTTTTCTATTTTATTTAATCTAATATTTTTTTTGGAGGCTTAGTAAAAATGTTTTATATTTATAAAAATACATTTAACAAAAAAAAAAAAATTACATCTTAATTTAAACATCTTAATATAAACTTCTTATTCAGAGAGCAATCCAACAAGATTAAATCTTATGTAAGAAAATAAATGAAACAATAATACATAATAATAGAAAAAGAAAAATAGAATCACTTTAAACAATTAGTAATAAAGTAGGAAAGTTTTTCAATGACGAGATATTTGTCTTTAGGGCTACTTAACAAATTATCCGATAGTTTATTTGCTTTTGATAAAAAAGAAAAAAAATCCTATACCAACATATACTAATATACATAAGACATATAAGATTATTTTTAAATATTCGGTATTATATTTGTTCATTAGATAATAATTATGTTGAATTTCTACACATGATATGAACTCTTGCCAATTTTTTTTTTTTTATTGGTCCCCATAATAAAATTGAAAAGTCTACGCCTATCTTCGCATCTTAAATTGAACTCATTTTACTTCCTCAGACATTAACTTAAAAAAAAATGAAAAAACTCCTGTGTGTGATTTAGACCAAACGACAGAAGTGAAAACATCAAGGCGAGATTAATAATATGAAATATAAATTATAAATAATAGCTCATTATAAATAGGATGAAATGTTGAACATTTCCCTCGCTTACAGTATGTAGATCCGATTTTTAGTTTCTGCAATATTTTAATCCATATCTTCAATAAAACTCGTTATCATTTGGATTTCAATACTATTTTTCCCCTTTTCTACTCTCTAACATGGTGTCGTGATAAGATACATTTTTAAATAATAGCACATTACAAAGAGGATGGAGTGCTAAACATTTCCCTTGCTTACAGTATGCAGTTGCGATTTTTTAGTTTCTGAGATATTTAAATTCATATCTTCAATAAAACTCGTTATAATTTGGATTTCGACACTATTTTATTCCCTTTTAACCTCTGTAACATGGTGTCGCGATAAGATAAAATTTTAAATAATAGCTTATTTAATAAATAAGCCGAACAGATTAGTATAATAAATTGTCTGGAAAAGTAGTTAAAAGGGAGGTAACTTGCGATATGAAGGTTTTTTAACTCAATGAAGTAGCAAATAGATTATCCAGGAAGTAAAGCAAGTATTTGGTAAACATGATCACATAATCATCATTTAGATATAATAAGTTTGCATGATGTGACCGGTAAGACCACAAATGCATATGTAATAAATAAAGAATGTATCAGTCATAATTATTTACAAATTTAATTATAACAAAGAGGATGAACATTTCCTTTGCTAACAATATACAGCTACCATTTTTAGTTTTTGAGATATTTTAATCGATATGCAAAAACACTTCAATTAGTCGACTTTGCCCGAACGTTACACGTTGAATATCTGACGGCTCAATCTAATTTACTCTCCACCAAAAAAAGTACAAAACGCGGCTAAGTACTTTTCACTTAAAAGTTTTTAGAAATTATGAATTGGAGTAATAAGCAAAGCTCTGATATAGTTTTACTAAATCACTATGACATTGAGCTGTTAATAGTAGGAATTTTCAAGGAGAAAAAAAGATACGAGGCTTGATATACGAGGATTTGTCAATGATTATTGCCAATACAATTCAACACCCCTGAGGGGAAATGGATGTTATAATATTATAGATTATATTGGTTATTGTCATTACCTGTAAGTTCCACCATAGAGATCATCCCCCAATATGACGTGGTCGCCCGCTTTGAGGAGAGACCCTACAGCAGCGACGGCTGCCATTCCGGTTGAAAAAGTCAGGGCGTATTTCGCTTTATCCAGGCTGGCGATGCAGGTCTCCAATACAGTTCTGGAAGGATTTCCACTTCTCCCGTAGAAATATTCCTGTAAGATAGGTTTTAAAATTCATCCGATTACTTGTTTGTCATTAATAATAAATTTAGGCTTAATTAATATAATTATTATAATATATATATTTACATTATTTATTCTTTTGTTCTATAACTTTCTGTTATAACTAAGGGACTTTGTCCTAGAATAAGGCTATTTTTCTATATATAAATATATCTGTACCCCGAAGGTAAATATAATCATGTTCATTTTTTTATTAAATGAGATATTGGTTATGGTTTGTCAAATATAAAAAAAATATTAGACCAGCCCAAATTTGACTTTCTTTTCTCCGAAGGCCATGGTCAAGGCAGCAAAAGATCTACAATATGTATATATTGATAATGATTGATAATGATATATATATCATGGGTGATAAATATTCAGGACGCAATCATTGTAAACATTTTTTATTTGCTTCAACGCAAACATGTGGGTCATCATCAGTGGTTCGAGCACTGAAGGCTTTCAAGTACTGACCATAAGCCTGAAGTACTGACTATCTTCAACTACTGACCGTAAACACTGAAAGCCTTCAGTGCTCGAACCACACTCTTATGATGACCGACATGTTTGGGTTGAAACAAATAATAAAATAAATTTTTTTTTTACAATGACTGCGCCCTGAATATTTATCACCCATGAATATTTAGCTCCCTTCAATATATATATATATATATATATATATATATATATATATATATATATATATATATATATATATATATATAGCCCCAAGCCTAGGCCGTTTCATCAAAATCACTAAGCTTTTATAGATTTGTTGCTCCAATCACACACCACAACTATAAACGCTTACACGGTACCAACTACAAACAGACACAAATCCTTACTGAACACGGGCAAACTAAACAATATCTAACAGGCTTTAACACTTTTGAACACTTAATATTCGAGCATACTGATACAAAACGTTATGTTAAAACGAGGAAATTGGCCAGAAACAGAACGGACAAAATTTAAAAAAGATTTCTTAGATTTAATTTAAAAAAATGGACTTTGACTAATTGACGGATGAATGTAGGCAGCTTAAATTAAGAAAAGTTTTGCTTTGCTTTATTTTATCTATTTATTTTTGTTTCTTTTATTTTAATTTTTTTATTACATTTTATTTATATTTATATTGTAGTATGCTGTCTTTTATTTTTATATTGAAATTTTTTTATTCTGGAAATTTTTTATAATTTCTTAACAAATTTAATTAATTTTTTCAACTAATATTGTAAATATCTATATATCCATGTAGTGTACCTAGTTTCAACAGGCATGGAGCATGTAATATTTATTTAATAAACTCTCTTTCTTTGGGGTTACCATGGAAAGAAAATAATAATAACAATATATATATCTGTTGATGTTACAGATCTTTTTCCGCATTAACCAGCCATCTCTGCCTATCTGGTAATTTTCTTCCCAGTTATCTGCATGCATTTCAGTTGTTGTTAATTCTATCTATCAACCTGTTTATTGGCCTTCTACGAGGCCTTTTACCTAATGTTTCGAGTTATCATTCCTTAGTTACTAATTCGTTTAACTGTTCTCTAGTCTCTATTTGGTTATAAAGTCACAACAAAGAGTGTTGACATGAGATGTACTACCTCTAAAAGTCAAACTCACCCCTTGCACGACAGGATCGGCCTGCTTGAAGGTGGATCCGGTGTGGATGGGCGGTATGACGATGCCCGAACTCCATTGGTCGGGACTCTGTCCATCGTGGATGGCCCTCGTCTCGAAGCTGTGGTCCGGGTGGAGAATGGAGTTGTCGGTGGTGGAGTTCGAGCCCTTGTTGTTCTCAACCTTCATTCTGCAGTAATATAATAACAAGAATTTTGATAAAAAATAAAAAGATTTGTGATTAATCTGTCTATTATATAAAAAAGTTTTTATTGAATATTTAATAATTGACCGTTGCATTACAAAGGAAGGAGATGGTCTGGGATGGCGGTCATAAATAGGCTAAATAGTGGCAAAACTATTTTATTAAAAGCCGACGTTTCGACCCTAATTTACAAGTTTTCTTCAGGGAGGTGTGTTCACCTAGGAGTTTCACTTAGACAAGTCTAAGACAAGTCTAAGTGAAACTCCTAGGTGAACACACCTCCCTGAAGAAAACTTGCAAATTAGGGTCGAAACGTCGGCTTTTAATAAAATAGTTTTGCCATCTCCTTGCTTTTAAAAAGTTTTTAGTATCACAACAGCCACACTGTAAAAGCTTGTAAGAGCAAAAACTAAAAATTTTCAGAATACCAAAAAACTGCTTAACTTTTGTTCTATGACCATTACATTTTTGGTTCAATTTTTTTTTTTGTAGACCTTAAGATAAAGATGTAATGCTCTATGCAACTTGTTTGATCCTATTTCTGCCAAATAATCTTTTAGAGTCATTACTTCTAACTTATACCTTTTTAGTTATTTTGAAAAATAGGTATTAATTAGGTAAAATCAAACGTATTGTAGTGGAACCCATAGCTTAGTTAATAATTATCAATAAATGTATGCGTAGATCATTTTGTTTATAAGCTTACGATTTAAAAGATTCATTGGTTTGAAAAGATGAAAGTATAAAGAAGTAAGAAGTAAGAAATACGTAAGTAAGAAATACAGTTCTCTTTTTCTTTCCTGTCTATAATAGGTAAGAAAAGTCAAAGCGATTTTCAGGTCAAATTTCCGACATGCGGTTTTTGACGGATCTACACGTTTCAGAACCTCCTGAGTACGAAAAACACATTTTCAGCCATTGGTCTGTCTATCTGTCTGTGTCAAGATTATCTCGGAAACTAGTGGATCGATTTTGTTCCTTATTTTTTTTATTTTGTAGTGTTTTTACTATTGATGCCTGTGAAATGGATGATCCATGCGCAATAGCGGCTGCGCAATAAAAAAACAACACATTTTTCTTTATGCTGTAGCGCTAAAACGGCTTTAAGGTTTTTATAAAACTTTCTTTAAATTTTCTAATTAATGTCCTTTTAATTTTTGTACAAATACTAAAGTCTCGAAAAAATATAGGGAAAAAAGTCATAAAGAAAAGAAAATGTTTTTGGAACTAACTCACTAAGAATGGATTCTACGGTAAAATTTATATAAATTTTTTTATATATACATATATATATAAAATAAAATATAAGTTTTTTTTTTTATTTCGTTTTTTCTCAAAATTTTATTTTATTTTTACTTGTTTTAATTTAATTTCACTGAAGATACTGTATATATTCTTTAATATTGATTAATGTAATTTTTGGCCAGATATAGTTTTAATTTTTTTGTTCATATCTGTTATTCATAAGGGACCTTGTCCCAGAATAAAGTTTACTTTCTATCTATCTATCTATCTAAAAACTTCTGAAAGGTAATTAAATTACCTACAAAACAAAAATAAATTATTCATCGTAATCGAACCAGTATTAGAGATGATAACTGCATATTTTATTTTCTAGACCTGTTTTAATTTATTACTTTCCTACCTATACTAGGTAAGGAAAGTATTGCGATTGGGTAAAATTTCCGATATGCAGTTTTCGACGGATCTATACGTTTCAGAGCCCCCTGAGTCCAAAAAACACATTTTTAGCCATTGGTCTGTCTCTCTGTGCCAAGATTATCTCGGGAACTAGAGGACCGATTTTGTTCCTTATTTTTTTATTTTGTAGAGTTTTTACTATTGATGCCTGTGACATCTATGCTCCATGCGCAATTACGGCTGCGCAATAAGTGAGAAACATATTTTTCTTTAGACTGTAGCAATCGTATAATGTAGAAAATCGTGTGAATGGACATACCAGATTTTTTAGTTATCTATTCACCAAATATCGTGACTTAAAAAATAAAACACTTGAATTCCCTTTTTATTTGTGGATAATCGAACCATTGTTTATATAAACTTTTTTACACAATTTGAGGTGAATCTCAAGTTTTTGCCTAATAAACTTCAACATAATCAATATTGACTTATTGAACAGGAAAGTTTTTTAAAACTGGAGTCTGGAGTATCTGTAGTATAGTAGGATGATGAAAAAAATCGCGAATAATTTATGACTTTTTTAAAACAGAAGCTTTAGCTTAGTTTAGCCGTTCAAATGACCCTTCTAATGGTTTCAACAATGACAAACACTATTTCCATTACAGCAATTGTTAATTACTTCTCTCCACATATAATATTACAGTAAGGCTCGAAATAGATTTTGTACCAAATATAAGTATATAAATATAATAACAAATATTCATGCTCAAATACCATGAATGGAGTATCGTTGGCTTCAGAATTTCACGGAGGGTTAGCGAATCGTACTCCCCATTTTCGTTTTTCTTTCTAAAATAAATAAAGCCGATAGACAAATTTTGCTAGGCTTCAATACTGGAACGGTGGTAGGTCTGTAGATCGATACGGGACAAATCTGATCTTGAAGATTTTGATGCGTACAGCAAGACCCGGACTGCGTTCTTAAGCCCAAAAACCTACTATTTTCGAGATAACGCAAGACATTGGGTTCGCATCCACACAACCATACGTTAATTGAAGTCATTGAATACATGTCTCATTCCATCGACTTGAGGTCCCTATGATCAAAAGAGGAGGAGTTTATATTATTTAACGATGGTGTTTTTGATCGGCAAGCCATATCATCGTTAATTCTTCATCAAATCTCAAGATTGAGTCACCAATTTTGAATGTTTCCTTTTTCTTCAGGCGGGCAAAATAGTCTAATCACCCAAAAAATTCCGGCAAAGAAGTTATGAAAAAAAAACTTTTTTTTGCGAATATTAAAAACATTACATACTTTTCTCTCGATTATGTCTTTGATTATATAAAAGATTACTAAATTCTCTATAAAAGGAAAAAAGATCTTCGAAATCGGACAATTGTTAGCAAAGATATAGCTTATTGAACTTTTTAAACATGTTGGTTCCAAACATTAATGAAGATTTAAATTAATTTTTGATTCCTTTGTCGATTATATTTATCACGAAAGTAAAACAATTGATTTCTTTAATTCATGATACGTTGCATTATTTTCTTATAATTTTGGTATTTGATCACTCAACAATATACTGTGAGAATTTTTCGCACGGGCCTACTAGTAAGAGATATTTCTTTAGTCATCCCTTCCTATTCAACAAAAAATATGAGTTATTTAAAAAAACAACACAAAACTTGGATTTCCTACTTTTCTGTTGAAAATCGGCTCAATGTTTATACGATTTTTTTTGTTGCTCTTGGGTCTACTGTCAAACCTTTACATATTTCCCTTGGATTGGATATAAATACTTTTAAAAGAGAACTTATAATTAAATGATATACTCACTTTTGTTATTATTCCAATCGGCTAACTCTGAAACAGACACAAATACTGCTACTAATACTGCTAGACTGGTAACTTATCGTAGCTAACAGTGTGCTTTTAAAGATACATAAACTTACCCCCTCCCCGCTGTTGAGGTGAGATGGGAAGTACGAGTACGTGAGAAGGATGAACAGGAAAAATAGCTTTGCGTGATTTCGGTGAGTTATCAGGATTCTGAATCACATGTCACTTAGTCATTTAAGCATTTTTACTTTCATTTACCTCCATATGAAATGACTATAGTTTAATCACTCTAACCAGGATAATAGGTTTAAATAATTGAGTAGTTATATATTTACCCAGCTAGAACTGTATTGGATAGATCCTTTTCCCTGATACATTTGATGTATAAGCAACATCAGCGCTAGTGTTGCCCAAATACGAGACCAAGACTCGTCTTGGTCTTGCGCACTCAGTCTTGGTCTTGCGCTAGAGTCTCGCAATAGTCTTGCAGTTACCTATTAGCCTATTACCATAGAGATATTACTGTAATTTTTCAGATTGTGGAAACTTAACTAAGCCCGAATGAAACATTAGAAGTGTTATAGTCCGTGGTACAGACCCCTTTTTATGTATCAAACATCCACCTGAAACTTCGAAAATAGTTTCATCTCGTTATAACCTACAACTATTTTATTTACAAAAACTCTTGGAATTGGAGCGTTTTCAATCTGGAGGGGACAAACTTTGTCTATTTAATTAGGTACTAAAAACTCGTAAATACACATTTGCTTTCCACTTTCGTCTTGTTAACTATTTAAAATTATGTAAATTACAGCCATAATTTTGAATATTGGAAAGTTCCTAAATTTGCCTTTTATATAACACGTTTCTAATTAAGAACTGTTCTTTTTTGTCAACGGACAGTTCATTTACGTATTTTTTAAATAATAGAAACGCCCACCACTACATAGAAAAACTCCCTTCAAATAATCATTGAACCATGTTCTGGAATTTTTTGCTCACCTTCATACGCACAAAATCATCTTTATTCAAACATCAATTATTTTCTTTAGTCAACAAACTATATTAGTGTTATCTAATGATTATTTAAAATCTATCATTTATAATGCGTTCAAGTGCAGAAGAGCAAATTACTATATTTTTATTTATCTTTAACTCATTAGTCCGTGATACAGACCCCTTTTTATAGAATTATTAACATCCGCCTGAAACTTCGTAAATAGTTTTATCTCATCATAACCTACAACTATTTTATTTACGAAAACTCTTGGAATAGGGGCGTTTTCAATCTGGAGGGGACAAACTTTGTCTATTTAATTAGGTACTAAAAACTCGTAAATACACATTTGTTTTCCACTTGGATCGTAAGATAATTTGAGCACAAACTCGAGAAAAAAGGTGACCTTCAAAAATATTGAACCGTTTGGCATGACCTTCACCCCCCAAAATTACATAATAACGAGGTTATATAGGCCAAGGAGAAATATTTTTGTAGGCAACTTTTTTTATCTATTTTGAGATCAAATTATCTTACGTTCCAAGTAGAAAGCAAATGGTTACTTAGGAGTTATTACTACCTAATTAAATTGGCAAAGTTTTCCCCCCTCCAGATTGAAAACGCCCAAATTCCAACAGTTTTCTTAAATAAGATAGTTATAGGTTATGATGTGATGAAACTATTTACGAAGTTTCAGGCGGATGTTAATAATTCGATAAAAAGGGATCTGTAACACGGACTAATAAATTTAAATAAAAATATGGTAATTTACTCTTCTGCATTTGAACGCAACATAAATGACAGATTTAAAATAATTATTAGATAACACTAATATAGTTTGTTGAATAAAGAAAATAATTGGTGTTTGAATAAAGATGATTTTGTGCGTATGAAGGTGAGCAAAAAATTCCAGAGCATGGTTAAATGATTATTTGAAGGGAGTTTTTCTATGTAGTGGTGGGTGTTTCTATTATTTAAAAAATACGTAAATGAACTGTCCGTTGACATAAAAGAACAGTTCTTAATTAGAAACTCATACCAGACTCAAACGACAAGAAACCGCTCGACGTTTCCGATTACTTCAGCACATACTAGACAAACGCTCTAAACTGCCAATTAATTACAAAAGACTCATATACATGATTATAATGAGGCATATTTGGACTTATGGGGCTGACCTATGGGGCTCCACTAAACCATCGAATTCCTCTCGTATCCAATCCTTACAATCCAAAATCCTTCGTAAAATCCACAATGCTCCCTACTTTATTACAAATAAAATCATCAGTAATGACTTTAATGTTTCAGATCTGGCCCAATCCAGATACCTATCCTTCCATAATAAACTTCAGAATCATCCCAACCCTCTCGTTTCTAACCTTGCTTCCTATTCAATTCCTGATAACCCTCCGAGGCTTTTGAAAAGAAGATGGCCCCGTGATCTTCTAATGTAGACATATCATTAGAGTGCTACCATTGGGTTTTTATTCAGCAAGTGTTTTCATGTCATTATATCCATAGATGTTCAAATTTACTGGATGTATTTATTTAATACATTTGTAAATATCATTAAGAAATAATAAATAAAAAAAATAAATAAAAAATTAGAAATGTGTGATATAAACTGCAAATTTAGGAACTTTCCAATATTCAAAATTATTGTTGTAATTTACATAATTTTAAATAGTTACCAAGTGGAATAGTTCCAAAAAGTTACAAAACATTATTTACGGTTTGCAAAAAACAATTATAGAGAGACATATTTAAAATACAAAACAATTTTTTTTTTTATTATTTCTTAATGGTATTTACAACTTTATTATATAAATACATCTAGTAAATTTGAACTGAAAACACATGCTGAGTAACAACCCAATGGTAGCACTCTAATGATATGTCTACATTAGGAGATCACGTGGCCATCTTCTTTTCAGACGCCTCGGAGGGTTATCAGGAATTGAAGAGGAAGCAAGGTTAGAAACGAGAGGGTTGGGATGATTCTGATGTTTATTATGGAAGGATAGGTATCTGGATTGGGCCAGATCTGAAACAAAAGAAACATTAAGGTCATTATGGATGGTTTTATTTGCAACAAAGTAGGGAGCATTGAGGATCATACGAAGGATTTTGGATTGTAAGGATTGTATACTAGAGGAATTTGAAGGTTTGGTGGAGCTCCATAGCTCAACTCCGTAAGTCGAAATAGGCCATATTATAGTCAAGTATATGAGTCTTTTGTAATTAATTGGAAGTTTAGAGCGTTTGTCTAGTAAGTGCTGGAGTAATCGAAAACGTCGAGCGGTTTCTTGTCGTTTGAGTCTAGTATGATAGTACAATTTTATTGTAGTAACGCCTTCAAATATATTTAAGTTATTAGTTTGTTTATAAGTAGTCTTCATAAATAATAACATCCAGAAACTGTACAGAAAAAAACATCTCTAGTAAAAAACACAGTTCCTTTATCGTGAGCTAAGACTCTTATTTAAAAACGGCTAAGAGCCTGGAAAACGAAACGAATAAACGACTCGACTATTGGCGAACGGAAAAATTAAATAAAAACAACTGGTTTTATCTGTTTGAAATAATAGTTCATTCATTTGAATCGAGATTCTCGTTGGAAAACAGTCAAGAAAAACGAAACGAATAAATTACTCGAGTCTTGGTGAATGGAAGAACTGAATAAAAACTGTTCTTACCTTTTAAAAAGAACAGTTCATTCGTTTGGATTCAAGAACTGTTATTTTCAAACGTTTGGCGTTTTCTCTCCCACCCCCCAGATCTATGAGAAGGAATAAACAGGTTTGTAAGCAGGGATTGTTTGCATGAAGCATGTGTGGAAGAACGTGGGGTGAGGAAATCAAGAATGTAAAGAGGCTTTTAGTTGTAAAGGATCGGAAAAGGTATCATATCGGAAAGTAATAATTTTTATTTATTATTAAGCAACTTGTTTTGATAAAAGAAAAAATCATATAATTTTATTATAAATACATATTTTATAGGTTCATCTCTGCAGGTATAGTTATGATCAATTAGAAACAGAGCAGAAATAGTATACCTCACTCCACTAGTGGATCCAGGATTTAATTTGGGGAGGGGGGCTTCAGCCCAAAACCTTTTTTTTTTTTCATAAAAATAACGACAATTACTTTGGAAAAAAAAGAAAGAAACTAACTACCTGTATGAAATGGTGTTTAAGTGATTCCTTAAGCCCTTTTAAATGTAATTGCACGAACAATAATACATTAAGAGGTATTTTTAAAATATTTTTTTCCATAAAACATGGTTATATTTTACCATTTTGGGGGGAGGGCTTCAGCCCGTAAGCCTCCCTCGTAGATTCGCCCATGCCTCACCCTAACATAGTAATTATCTTGAATTATCGTGCTGTCTATATTTGGTTTGTCTTGTCGTGCATGGTTATTAGGTAGACGAAATATATATATGAAATATAAATCTGTAGTCTTATCTAAGGTGTATATATATTAATATAATATAAGAGACCTGTGACTTTTATTTTATATAAATATAACTATAGACCTTAGATTGGTTATTTTCTTTTTCCTTTGGCATTATAGACCATCTTTTGCCACCCAAATGGAAACATACTCCATCTCTGCCTCTCTTGGACTACTTTTTTCCAGTTATCTGCACGCATCTTTGCTGATTCTATCTATTCATCTCCTTTTTGGCCTTTATCGTGTCCTTTTGCCTTCTATGTTGTTTTGAGGATTCCAGATGGATTGGTCAGAACCACAGACGGATCTAAGGGAGGGAGGGGACTTTCGATTTGGAGCCCCTCCCCCCCCCAAAATGGTAAAATATAACCATGTTGTATTAAAAGAATTATCTGTAAAAGTATTATTGTTCGTCTAGTTGCATTTAATAGTATTCAAAGAATCACTTAAACACCATTTCACGTAGGTAGTTTTTTTTTCTTTCTTCCAACTAATTTCGAAAAAAAAATCTTTGGGGCTGAAGCTCCCTCCCCGCAAAATTAAATCCTGGATCCATTAGTGCTCCGAGCTACATGCCCCGCCCATCTTAACATC